TCACTACCAAACAAAAACAGGCGTTGCATGGATTCTCCAGCTTGTGGGTTGCTAGCGTGGCCCTTTATCCTCCACGTTGAGCAAGAATGAGATGTGCCAGGAACATTTTCCTCAACGGTTTGTTTTCTCTATGGTTTCATATGGTTTTATCAATGTGTGCCCGATGTGCAAGGTAACTGAAGAGTGCTGCTTCATTTTGTCAGCAAGTTGGAGGTATTGTCAGGCACCACCTCTGGCAGGAAGCCTCTTATGCTGAGCGATGCGACTGGGAAGACGAAACGCGGCCAGCTCCATTTGAGCCTCAGCTCAGCCATTTGAGCGAACGTGTTAAATGTTGCTCCAAAGGCAGTCGCAGAATGCAAAGAACAGGAGCTTGCCAAACCTACGGGACTCTCTGAATGGTTGATTTTGCTGTGGGCCACCTTTGAAACCATACCCACAAAATCTCCTGGTCTTGAGGCATATCTCACGATCTTCTGCTGGCATTTAGCTGGAACATATTTGTTGCAGCTGAGGCAGTTTGATTGGCTGAAGCTCACGCAGGAGAGCCAGGAGGGAGACTGCACCTGCATCTTAGCCAAGGTTTCTCAGATCCCGCGTTTGGCTTTTGATTCAATGCACAGCACGCGCTGAAAACGTTTGTGGGGTTGAACACTGACTCAGGCATGGTCAGGATAAAAATCGACGAGGTCTACGTGCCACTTGACAGCGCAGAACTGCAGCCAGCAGCGTGTGGCAGCATGCTGAGTTTGGCAGTGGAAGAGAGATGCCTTCTTGGCATCCTACGGGCAGGAGTTGAATACGTGCAAGTCACATGGCTTCTAACTCCTTTGCTCTTGATCATTCTGCATGGGCGCACAGTTTAGGGCCTCAGGGGTGCAGCTTAAGCAATATCCGGATGCCATTCACCAGCAGGGCTCCCGTTGACTTTGCAGGCGCAGGGGCGATTCTGTTGAGGCTGATGTTGCGGTGTTCGATCTAGGGCTGCCCGCTGTTTGCGCAGCCTAGGCCGGATGACATAGCTCCTTGGCTGCAAGAGTTTACGCTGATTTATGCGTGTGCGTGGTTTGTCGCACAACGTCAGCTTTGGACTAGTCCGAATGAGCGTACTTGCTTTCCCAAGGGAACCACTTTTGATGAATGCGGAGGGTGTCCAAGTTTTACAGTGTCATTGGATATTCTTCAGGCCTCAGGAACCGAGGGTAGCAAAGTCTCAAGGGATAGGGTTGTGTCCTGAAATCAGAAGCCCACAGACTGTTTGCTTGCTTTCGAATTCACCAAGGGTGATAAACAATTCCAGGGCCCTCCCTGTGGTGTAGCCCAAACCGGTATCCTTCTTCAACATTGGACTATCTAACAGATGTTATGAAGCCTGAAATTCAGACCCAATCTTGGTGGTGCATTGTATGCGCTAGCCCCAAGAGTGGTTTTGCCACACTTTGGCAGCTGCCAGGGTATGCTGTATTAGCTTGCCGCAAAGCCCAACGCTTCTTTCAACGCGGGAGTTGCGGCTTCCCCCTTCTGCCGCAAGCGAGCCAACCGCGAAAGGGAAACGGTGGTGCCAAGTTCTTTACTCGTCTTCGCAAGGTTTGGGGCTCCAGCCCGGGTTGACTTTTTGTTTGCCAGGACCTTACCTGGGCGAAAGTCCAGGCACGAGAGAGCCGAGAGCCGACAGAAATTCGGCGTTCCGGTTGGTGGACTCCCGTGGTGGAAGTTGAGACGCTTCATTAGCATCTTATGTTCAAGCAACTCAAGAGCCCAGTGGCACTGGAAAAAAGGCCACCCTCTTTTTGTGATCTTGAAGGGACACCAAGCCCAACAAAAGGAACGACAGGTGCTACAGGGCAACTGGTCAACAAACGCTTGTGCACAATCCAACAACATCCCAAACCCCACTCTGCATTTCTTGCTGCCTTTCCTCTCGCTGCATTCTTCCTCTGGAGCTGCCAGTCATGGATGACGAAGAAGCTAGATGCTGACATTCTCAAGATGTGAATGTTTCCCTCACATTGGGGATCCTCTTTTGTGGTGGAAGGGAACGGCAGTAGGTTCTGTCACGGGAGTTACCGGAGCAACCCACGCACCCGGCAAGTTTGCAGATGGAGTTCCCTGTCATCCACTAGTACATTATATTTATGTGGGTATGCCTCAAAATTAAAAAGCTACTGTTCGGGTTACGCAGGTTTTAGTCTTTAGTTCATTTACCAAGGTGCCATTTTAGTACATTTGTTTGAGCCACAGCCATATTTGCATTAATTCACTTGAAAGTCCCTGCTTCTCACTGATGTTTGCGTGTCTTAAAACAGGGACACAATCCCTTGCTTGGCGACAAGCATGCCTTTGCTTTTCCCGGAAAAGCCGAAACGTGGGTGTTTCTTCCCCATGTCAGGACACCACCCCATTCTGGTTCGGTCGTAATATTGGCAATCTATGGTGAAGTTGGGGAGACGTGGGGCCCCAGTCACTAAGTGCTTCCCGCAGAAAAAAACGGGGGTTCACCAATTGTCAGGTGTCCTTGACAGGAACACCTTCAGAAGCCACGGCTCATGTTCGTTATTTTTCGTTCCCCCCCCCCCCTCTCAGTGGGTTTTTCTGCCGAGTTCGGCAGGTGAAGCTGAAGGACGGGCGGATGCGGCAGACCCCGGCCACCTTCCCCGCCGCAGCAGTGGACCCCACGCTGTCGGAGAACTTCCCGTCTGAGAAGCGGCTGGACGTGGAGCCACTCGCCATCAAGGAGGGAGGTCCCTCCTTGGGTTTTCCTTTGGTTTCCCTTTGATTTCCTTGTGTAACCAACCCAAAAACGGGGGGGGGTCCCGAAAAAAGGACACAATAGAAGGGAGTATCCAAACTTGGTGGTTGCAAGGGAGCCAAGGACATGGTAGGCTTGGACACAAGACAAGGGGCCTGCTTGAGGCGTGGCCAGAGCTGCTAGTTGACTTGCACCCCCCCCCCCCCACCCTCATCTCCTGTGCCCTTGTTTCCCAAGTTGGTCAACATGAGTCGGACCTTGCTTAGTAGGTGCTTTAAATTGGCCCCTTTTGGGCAAATGCCCTTCAACGAGGGCCTAGGCAGCCAAGCTGCAACCGGACCTAAAAATCGAACAACGCCAGGGTGTCGGGACTGTGCAAGCGTATCATGTTCTCAGACTGGTGTTGGGGGCCCTTCCAAGCCATTGGCAGCATTTGGCGTCATTTTGTTTCAGCGGGACCACCGACTTCCTTCACACTCCCATGCTACTTGATCGAGGTATGTCATGTGCTTCAACCTCTTGACGGAGGTGGCATTGGCCGAGCCTTTGGAGATTTCGCTGGTCTCCCAGAATAATGTTGCCGGACCAAGATTCAGGCATGGCCAGTTGCAGCGCCCAAGACCCAAGCCCCCGTCATTTGAGCCTGCAAGTGAAGGCAGGGCATGGCTCGAAAATCCTCCTGGGCGACATTCAAAGTATCAAGTTTTCAGCCATCCCGCGTATTGACCAAAGGTTGCCGTGGGCATCGGCATCATCAAGCTGGATGAGGTTATGAAACGTCCAGAGAAGACCATGGAGTGCACTTCTGAGCCGATGCAGCTCAATGGCAACAGATGACTTCGTCCTTCAGCAGCCATGGCATGCCTACTGCTTGTGAAAGATACTAATCCTTGTTAGATCTCTTGTCATTTTGGCAAGATGTGAAGAAGTGGCGGTCACCTTGTGTCGTGCTAAGAAGAAAGGCGGGCTGAATTCCGAGCTGTCCGCTCTAGTTGCATCACTTCTGTATAATTACCGATTGCGGTGCAACACGCATGATTGCTTGTGGGAGCAATGCCGCAGATGCTTCACGCCCAGAAATCCTGATTGGGCGTTTGCTAGGGTTGCGAATTCCCCAGCGCCGTTTCTGGCGGCTTGACCTTGTTTCAGGAATATGTTATTTGCATGTGTATACAGGTCACATACTTACCGAGATGTCAAATTGATGCCACCTTATGTATCGAAAGGCCCGACAGTGGTGGTTTACAGGGTATTTGTTGCACTTGCTTGCAGACATGCTTGGGGTGCCAAGTGAGGCACGTCTTTCTTTTGGGCCGCAGATTCGTTGCACGTGCCATCGCGGCATCTCAGGGAGCTTGAACGGCCGGACGACAGCAGCGATGCTGGGCCGCGATTGATTTGGATGCTCAACATGGGAAGGGAATGACGCCAGGCGGTTGTGCTTTAGCTTTGGATTCACATTGTTTTCCTTTTGAGTTTGTGTCAATCACAAGATGCGATTTTTGGCTTGCCAACCCATCTTACGGCTAGAGCTGCCTTGACTGGAAGGCTTGGTTTGTTGAGTGGGAGATTTGCAGCGGTCCCTGAATTTGAATCGGAGTTTGGCATCAGCCAAATTCCATTGCACTGATTTCTAGAACTTATGACCATACACACATACATACATTCATGCATACATACATACATACATGCATACATACATACATACATAGATACATACATACATACATACATACATACATACATACATACATACACATACATATACATATACATATACATATACATACACATACACATACACATACACATACACATACACATACACATACACATACACATACACATACACATACACATACACATACACATACACATACACATACACATACATACATACATACATACATACATACATACATACATACATACATACATACATACATACATACATACATACATACATACATACATCATTATGTACGTACACACATACACACAGCCACACATACACACAGCCACACAGCCACATAGCCACACAGCCACACATACACACATACACACATACACACATACACACATACACACATACACACATACACACATACACACATACACACATACACACATACACACATACACACATACACACATACACACATACACACATACACACATACACACATACACACATACACACATACACACATACACACATACACACATACACACATACACACATACACACATACACACATACACACATACACACATACACACATACACACATACACACATACACACATACACACATACACACATACACACATACACACATACACACATACACACATACACACATACACACATACACACATACACACATACACACATACACACATACACACATACACACATACACACATACACACATACATACATACATACATACATACATACATACATACATACATACATACATACATACACACACAGATGCGAGATCCGTGAGGTGATCTCGGACTTTCTGATCACTCGTGAGAAGAGCGACACCAAGGTGCGATTGGCAGGACTCTGCGTAAAGTCTCAGCCACACATGGCGTGGTTGTTACGCACAACATGGGACCTGAGCAGACGATTGCAGGAATAATTCAGTGTATGTCAAAATAAAAGACGTCACCAAATGGTGATGTTGCTTTTGGTTCCCCTGTTAAGGACTAAAACCTACCCCCAAAAGGGTACACTGAAGAAAGATACACACCCAATTCCTTCACCAAAGTTCCGGCCAGGCCCCGCCGGTTCGCGCGGAGGTCACCATCTCGGTCAGTCGCTGAGAGGGGGGGTGGGTGCGCGGCCTGGTGATTCCCTGAGCCTGTGCTGGACAGTCACGTTATCTTGAGTCAAGTGTCTCAGGTCGTCACAGATGATGCCAGATGAGCGACAATCAAAACCCGGGTAGATGAAGGTTAGTAGGGACAATCCCAACCATAAATAGCTGGGCCTTGTTAATTCTTTACATGGTTCTGGGTAGACCATTTTAACACCGGGTTTGATTGTGACTCAGATGCTTTTGCTTTTTTCAGGGATCCAGCACTTGAGCTTTGAAGTGTTAGGCACCCTTTCAACACAAGGTCTTTTTCAGCTAGCGGAAACAAAGCTGCTGCACGGTGCAAGGTGTTACGTGTCAAGCCAAGTTTCGAAATCGTGTCTGAGGCAGTCTAAGAAAGGTGTTCAATCTACTGCTCCTGGCGGCTCACATGCACCAGGAAGGCTGTCGCATAGGATTCCATGGCCTTCAGCTGAAGCTCGGGAAGTCAAGCATGACAGCGCAACGCATTTCAGGACTTTTTCAGTCTAGGCAGGCCGGTACGCCTCAGTCTAATGTGCTCATTCACTTCACCAAGCTACAGCAAAAAAAGCTGCCTTGGCATGGATCGACAGCCTTGGTTGGACCCTTTTGGGAGGGGGGGAAGCACATCAGCCACCCACCACAGGCTGACAGAGCTTGCATTGCCCGCTCTTTGACCAGCGGAATCTTTGTTTCACACGGATACCCGTGGTGTGTGTGTGTGAGCTATGACAAGTCAGAACCCCTGATTGGTTTCTGCAAAAAGCACACCGCCCTGAAACGGCAACCCGTTTCGCCTTCAGGTGATGGGGCTGCAGCCGGTGTCCACTAAAGCAGCACTCACTCACATGAGGCGGGCTCCGATCAGAGACGGGAGCTCCGCTAGTTGCCATCCTGGGGTATCTCTTTTCGGGTCAATCAACAACTAAACGTCTTCCTTCGAGTATTTTGGTGTGGCTAGCAGGTCATCGTCTGCCACCCGCACATATCCAGTTCGAAGCCAAAATTCAATAGGACTTGTTTGTGGCCGTGTCTTTTTGCTGAGAGCGCCCGTGTCAGGATGGTTTGATTTGAATCCGGTGGCCCCATGTTAGCTTGCAACGGCTCCGCCACAGGAAGCGATGCCAGCTATTGCCGGAAGCCGCCTGGACGCACACATGTACTGTATGTAATGTATGGATAAGCAGGATTTGAGAAAGTCCTCTGTTTGCAGCTGTCAGCAGTCATGTAGAGTCTTTGACGACCAATAGATATGCCGGCGAGCTGGCTGACCTTTTCTGTCAAAGCAGGGTTGCCTTGATGAGGTACAGCTTGGTCAAGGGATTCTCTTCTGAGACCTGTGTTTTTGTAGGATTTGCCTCTGTTTATGAATCCTTTGTCTGGAAGATGTTTCATCTCGATAACGGTAATCCGGGCTTGCGTTGACTCAAAGGTCCTGCGGCTCTGAGGACATGCGAACGCCTTCCCACAGTACGTCTACCAGCAGGTTTGGTTTCAACTTGCAGCCGCCCTTGATGCCTGGCCGCAAGATCCTTTTTGCAAAACCGAAGTCTTTGAGCTCACCAAATGGTTCAGTAAAACAAGGCCAAAAGCCACATTGCCGAGATTGGCTTTGGGCAGGTCGGTGCCAGGGCCATGCAATTATACTTTGAGGTTTGCTCTGCAAGGCTGTGCACACTTTGTTTCTTCAGCCCGTGAGTAGGGGGATGTGGGGTCGGTGTTGCGGTTGTTTTTAGGTGGACGAAGGCTTGGTCTAGGGAGGAGCTAGGGTAGGTTTTGGGTGGAGTTAGGGTGTGGGATTGTTTTAGGGTTGGCTTAGGGGGGTGGGGGGGGAGGGGGGAGGGTTAGAGTAATTTGGGGTTTGCTTCAAACAACTAGAAGCCAAAAGCCGCAAAAACCACACAAGACGAAAGCCGCAAAAACAGGCAACACACAATCAACAAGGCCATCCCATCGCAAACAACGCATTCAACAACTATGCTTTTCCTCCTGCAGTCCCTATGACCAAAGCCAAACAAAGAATGAAACCCCACCCGCGGTGGGTTGGTTGATTTCCGCAAAAACAACAGCAACCAAACATGGAACGCTGGAGTGCCCGCAGCGCCCGCGCTGTCACGAGTACATGTCAACTTCCTGGTGCCTCGATGACAGTTACGCGACAAGCCAAGCTGTTGACCATGCTGCGGAGATTTTTGAAACCGGTGTCTATGGGGATGCTGACTGAGGCGTTGGAGATGTAGTTTGAGGAGAGATGCATTGTGAAAGGTTTGCAATTCGTGCAAACCTACGACACTATGGGTTTTAGGCGCTGCTCATTCGTTGATGTTTGCTGACATCGCGCCATGCCCAGGTGTCGGGATACCACCAAGTGCACAGGCTCCGTGGAGTCTCTGGAAGCCTGGCCTTGACAATCGCCGACTGGTCTTTTGCTCTTGCAAGCATTCTGCCAAACTACTTATTCACCTTTGTGCTTTCACATGTTTTCACGCACCAGGGAGCTTATTAGAATTGGGCCCCTCTAAACGGGTGATGTCATCACGATAACTATTCTGTCCCTCGTTCATGAAAAACGTACAGCACAATGAACGTGCGTGTTTGGGGGTTGTTCAAGCAAGCCCCGTTTTGCAGTCTTGTGGCCTTCTGTGGGTTCACAAGATGCTGATGCTGGAGATGCTGGGGATGCCGGCCATTTTGGGCAAGAACATTGGGGGAGGGCGGGACCGTGTGTGTGTGTGTGTGTGTGTGTGTGTGTGTGTGTGTGTGTGTGTGCGTGTGCGTGTGTGCGTGTGCGTGTGCGTGTGCGTGTGTGCGTGTGCGTGTGCGTGTGCGTGTGCGTGTGCGTGTGCGTGTGCGTGCGTGTGTGTAGCCGTGGGCGGCTGGAGGTGTGAGAGCATATACACACACACAGGGTGACACATGCATACCATACATCACAGATGTGTGTTTGGCTTCTGGGACGCTGAGGACTGGTTTAACGCCTTCTTCGCGCGTTTGTGGCCAAAGATTGCCACCTTTGTCCAGCGGCTGATGGAGGAAGCGCAGGGAATCCCTGCGAAGGGAGTCTCTGGAAGTGTGCTCAACAAATCGGGGCCCCTCCAAGTGGCGACTTTTGCTCCGTTGGCCTTTGGGGCCACAGGGTGATTCATTTTTGAGACCTTCCACTCTGAGCCGTGCCAACATGATACAATCAAACCTGGAAGGGAGCTTTCCATGGTCGAAGCTTCACATTGCATCAGAGATCCCTTTTGAAATGGAGGCCGGATGCCAGCAACTTGTGCGTGAGATTTGGTGCTTTCGGCATGCAACTCCTTTTGGAGGCGTGTGCATATGGCCACGGCATGTGGCCGCTCTTGTTGAGGTCAGGCTAGTGCTATTTGCTGCGACTGGTGATGCTGACGTTGCCGGAAGTGCTGCGATGGCGATTGATGAGTCGTTGTTCTGAAACGACTCAAGATTCCCCGCTGGTGTGGGGGGTCCTACCTGAGGAGTTTGATATGATTAGCAGCATCGCTGAGATGCGCTTGAGTCACCTAACAGCTGGCATCGGGGAAGTCTGCAAACGTGTCGCAAAGACTTTCAATTCGAAGCAGGATGTCCGTTTGGCAAATCCCACTAGCAGGATTATCGGCAGGATTCCTTGAACATTTTTAGGCCAAAGCGATTCAAACTAACTGACCGACGAAAGGCACTCCTTTTGCCTTAGTCATCCATCGTGTTTGTACCAAGGGAACACTGATGACAATGACAATGGCAACCCACTGGCGGAGTTTGGAAGATAACATGCACGTACCACATATCACCGGTTTACCAAACCCGACTTCAGTTGTCGGAAGCTGAAATTTCAGTTGTAACCTCACATCTCACCCTCAGGTAGGGGATGGCGCCGGTGCAAGAGCAAAGAACACCTGCTTGATCGAGTGGTCGATCGATCGAGACTCTCTAGGACCAAGATGGCTCGGTCACGCAGAAGATGCAAGCAGCCGTGCCATCCCTTCTGAAAGGCGGGGGTGGTTTGACTCAGACATTGATTCAGCCGCTCTTGACGTGGGCCCAAGTCGGTTTGCTCCATCTTAGTCTAACAAAAATGCTTCCAAGAGTTGCTTTGCAAATAAATAGCCCTGAATCAGGATGCATCAAGAAGTCGGTTCAGCTTTATGCAACTTGCCGGGCTTCCAACCCCTGAATCAGATGCCAATCTTCCGAAGCAGACTCATGGATTGAGAGAAGGTACCCTTGACAAAAAGTTGATCTTCTGGGGCTTCCTTCATGTTGGCAGACGGTTTTTTGTAGCTGGGAGTTGCCTCCCCGCCTCCTTATCTGCTGCTGGCTTGCGGTTGCGGATGGCAACTTGCAGGCATCCACTTCAGCAAGTTCAAGCTGGGCATAAAGACGCCAGTCTTCGGGCCTATCAAGCGTCTTGTCTTTCTGCGTCTTTCTGGCACTGGTTGAGAGTGTATTTGCTCTCAGTGGGGAGGCCATCTGGGCCCAGCATTTGGAGTTGCGCGCTGAAGCCGACGTCTCCCTAGAAGAAGCGGAACGCTTTTGGGTTGTTCCTGCGGATGTTGGTACTCCCATGCTCCTCATGCATCTACCTTATTTCAGGTCCAGGCTGCTTCATGGTTTGCTTTGTGCCCTGGGAGTTTTCACCAAAAACAGTCACGAAGCCCAAAGAGGAGGTGCTTAGGCTGAGGGTAGATCTGATCCGAGGATTTCTGAGGCCCCAGAGCGCTGGGGCAAGGATGGCAAGGACATCATGCAGGGGCAGCCCGGCCGCAAAGGGGCGAAAAAAGCTCGCGAGATGATTCCGAACAAATGGCCTCTGACAAACACGTGAATGTGTAGCTAAAAGTCTAACAGGGGTCTACTCTTGATGTGGTGAGTTGTCAGACATGCAACATACGCTGACCCAGGTTTTGGCCGACGGTTCTTCTTTGCACCTCCAGGGGGTAAATTTCATGTGAATGTACACCCTCCTAGGAGGTGTGACCATGGCTCATGACCTGAAAGCAATCCTCGCTTTTTCGTGAGGCAATGCTCCCAGTTGCCATAGCACGTGCTTGGAAGATAAAAAAGGGCGCGCTCTCAGAATCCGTGTTTCACCCCGGCAACCGCCTTTGGGATCTTTGTGAGAGCATGAAGCCAGCGAATATGTCTTGACAATCAAGAAGCCGCGGCAATCCAGCACCGCCATTTGGAAGCCTCCGTGAAGGCCATGGTGCAAAGCTTGAGATCGGGGGCTCGACAGCCGCAGTACCCAATTGAAAGGCACGGACCGGCCCCAAGAAAGTGTGTTGCAAATGCAACATCAAACGACCGTTCGGCTTTATGGGTGTGTTTTTTTCCTAGTGGTTCCCTTTAAAGTACTTTAAAGCCACACAAAAAGGGGGGCACTCTCAGCAAACAACACACCCTTGTACTCACAGCTGAGGTCCGAGATTCGGCTTGGCGTGAAGCTGGACTCGGACTCGGAGATTGAGCTCAGCGTCATGGGAATTAAGGCTGCTCGAACCAGAACTGCGTGCCTTCTTCCAAAAGCACCGAGCGTTCTGTTGTATGCACATGACCGCTTCACGCTTATGACCCATACTACTATGCACCATAATTACTCTGATCAGTCATCATTCACATGTCCTCACAAAAGTGTGGCGTTATATCTTGATTGTCGGAGAGCTGTGGCGACCCTGCTTCTTTTCCAACCGGCCTCTGCCGAGTCCTTGTGTGTGTGTGTGTGTGTGTGTGTGTGTTTGTGTGTTTGTGTGTTTGCGTGTTTGCGTGTTTGCGTGTTTGCGTGTTTGTGTGTTTGCGTGTTTGCGTGTTGGTGTGTTTGTGTTTGTGTGTTTGTGTGTTTGTGTTTGTGTGTTTGTGTGTTTGTGTGTGTGTGTGGTTTGTTTGTTTGTTTGTTTGTTTGTTTGTTTGTTTGTTTGTTTGTTTGTTGGTCTGTGTGTTCGTGAGAGAGAATGGTTGAACTTCCGGAGTAGTCTAGAAATGCCAGTGAAAGTGCGTGAGAAGCAATTTGCTTGTACACGTCTCGGAGCCTAGGTTGGGATCCATCGCTTGCAGGCGCAAGCGCGTTCACGCGATCGCTGGGATTGACCGAAGTTTGGATACAGTCGGGGCAGTGCGGTTGGACAGGGCTGGTTCCAACATCCGTATGCCCTCTCCGTTTGGCTGCAATCAAAGCTATTGGTGGAAGGAGTGACAACACACCTGTCTGCCGGCTCAGTTCTCGGAGATTGGCCAAGCTTAGTTTGAAGGCATCATAAACCATGGAACGTAGCAGCTTGCCGCTCAATGCTTACATGCACGGCTTCGGTGGGGTTTGTGATTCGGTCGCGCGCTTCTGCTGGAGTCCCCATTTTTAAAGTCCGACAATTGTGAGTGCCATGGGTTGACTTGGAGGAGTCTGCCAAACTGTTAACCATGGAGTTTATCTCCCGCGCCCCATTTTGTGCAACAAAGATGGAAAGGACCCCGTCAAGAAGGGTTAAGCAGACCTTTGGGGCCGTCGTTTTTGGCTCTCGTGTCGCCAAGTTCTCACGGGCAGAACACGATCGTTTGTTTTGTGGTTTTACCTTTTGTAGGTTTCCAACAGGAGTCTTTGGCTGCCATTTGTTTTTGCACCCCATTTTTGCTGATTGACCACGCGTCCGACGTCTGGCGGTTTTGGTTTTGGTCGGCCGCAGGTGAGGGGCGAGATTGCCATTCGCTTCGAGCCCCTCTTGGCGCAGACCCCGGTGTCAGGGACTCGGATGCGAGTCGGGTCAACGAATCTTGGGGAATGGCCGAATTATTTGAAAATACTGCAAGTATCGAATTAAGTGATACAAGGAGATTGTGGTTCTATGAAACTGAGTAATGAGCACATCAAGTGGAAGCGCATGCCTGCGACTAACGACATTCGGATGGATGGATAAGTTTGCGCGCCCAATGGAATGTTGTGTTTCCCATATCACCCTTTGGGGGGCCGCTTCTTCACTCCGTGCAATGCAACAATATGTACATTTGACGTGCTTCCGATTCACAAAGACCCCAATGACACAACTCGGGCCGCTGTGCTTACACTGCACACGGGGAGACAAGAGAGAGAGAGAGAGAGAGAGAGAGAGATGCAGAGAAAGAGTATGCCGGAACAGGTTTTGAAGTTGCCCGGATCATGGTGCATGATTGAATGTGGTGCTTTCTACGTTTGCTGTTTGCCCTTACATGAAGACATGTAAAGCATGCACAAACATATGTAAACCATGCAGCTGACCGAACCTGACTTAAAGCTTGAAGCCCTGTGCAGATTGGCGAGACCTTCTATTTGGATACATGTCAACCACCTGCCCATGGATTTATTGTGCGTCGTACTGTAGTGCTCAGTTTCCCGCGGCTGAGGATTGGAGGCCTCGTTTTGTGCTTCCTGAACCCGCCCAAGCTTGCCATGGAATCTTGATGCAAGGCTTGACAAACATTTTGACTCGTCCGCACCAAGCTTCCAACCCTGCCGCAGGGGTTGACACTTATGCATCCAGCACAGAGGGAACTAATGGGAAGCCCGGATTAATACCCTCCTGGTTGATTCATACGGGTGCCTCTTTTTAACGGGGATTCATCAGTTTTTGAGGCTCTGAATAGGACGGGTCAATATTGATATCCTCCAATACCACCGCTCAACGACGGCTGAGGAGTACAAGCACTTCGCCCAGATCGTGAGCAGCAATCCGGTCCTGGATCCCTTGGTGAAAAGCGCCATCGACCGGGCCATTTGCAAGGCTGCATGTGCCTGACGTTAGAATCGTACTATTTGTTTGTCAATTGTCTCCAACAGCCGTTGTGGATTTCTGTTGACTGATGTGGGCTGTTGTCGACTGTCATATTTGCACTGCTTGTTATGGACTGTGATGGTCTGTTGTAGAACTCATCGGCTGTTGTGGACTGTTTTGACTATTTGTGGGCTGCAATTGCTCAGTACGAAAAGGGCTGATTCCGAATTGATTCCTGTAGTCGCTGACATTGCAATTCAAGAGGGCGTGGTCGGTGAGGAGAGTAGGTTTGGCTAGACCTAGATCTGGCAGCATCAGTGGCGCATTGCCCGGCGCCTTGCAAGCATGTGCGACAGCAATTTCGATTCACAGCCCTGGCATCCCATCTGGGTTTTTGGAGCATCAACTGGCGGAGTACGTCGCACACTGATGCGACAACCACCATTTTCATCTCATCGCTTGTCACAATGCTACAACATTCCCGCATGAACTTCTATTGAATTTTATTTACCGCTACATAGTGCTGCGTTAAACAGTATTCAAGGCGAATGCTTTCTGCTGCACGGGTTTGTCTTCAAAGAAAAGACCCCCAAAATGGTTGGCTTTCCTCTAGCTTGGATTGAAAACAGCACCGTTAGACTGTCATGGTTTGACAGCCCCACATGGATTCCGTCGTCAGGCACTGGTGATGCCCAACGTGATCTCGATCCCAATCGGGACAGAGGAGCTCCTTGGCAACCCGCCTGGCGGAACCATACTCTGGATGGACAGAATCCATTTCGCACAGTCGGGATGGATGAAGCTCTATGAAACTGGGGTAAATCCAAATTACCTACTGGTTCGAATTAACTTTTGTCATCCACAGTAGGCAGCGAACGTTCAGAGCGATACTGCCACCCGTCCCCAAATTGTGCTAGATCTTGTTCCGCTGGCTGGAGCTTGCTGTTTGCGGTTGAGTTAGCAAGTGAAGGGTTGGATTTGACGATTCCATAATGGCCCCCCCCCCAAAATCAGGCTTCACCCTGTGCGGCCCTTCTTTCGTGATGGGGACGCGTTCTTTGGCGAATTTCAACCTCAAATTTAGCCTATGGTGCTGCTTAGAGAGATCCCCTGAAACTGGGGCCACCTCTGATTGCCGCTGTATCATTTTTTGGGCATCCCGGTCTTGGTGAAATCAAACGAGAAGCCAAAAGGAAACTGGCAAGTGTCAGGTTCTTTTTTGGGTGGCCGGCCAGCTGGGGGAAATCGATCCGAGGAAGGGCGTGGACCGGGCCCTGCTGCGGCACCCACGGCCGCTGGGCCTGCTGCGGATCAAGGCCAAGACGGCCCAGGGCCTCCCAGGCCTTTGACTCGAAGCGAGCCCCCGGCATCGAGGGGGGGGATACGCCGACACTCCCCAAAAAGCACCCCAGCCTTGGGGAAGACCAAAACTGGAAATTATTTTTGGGGTGTTGGGGTGGTGGGGTGGTGGGAGCGGTTTTATGACTTCTACTTTTTTCTGCTTTAAGATCAGATGGCATGTCTCGTTCCGTGTGTGTGTGTCAAAATACAGGGCAGACACTTCCTATGGTCAATCAAGACCCACAGGAAGTCAAAAGAATGGGCTCGTTTGTGGTGAGGTTTGCTCGCTTTCAACAGCTGGAGTTGAGAAATCAAAAGAAGACTACCCATTTTTGGTGGTCCCCCCACTTTAGGACACATTCACTTGAAGAGAACGTGGCGTGAAAAGGACCAATGAGTGCCAGTTGGTCTAGCTTGTTGCAAAAGGTTTCAAGGTACTGATAGTCCACAGAAAACCGGAAGAGTTGGGAGTGAGAGGAGGACTGCTCAGAGGTGAGTCACGACAGTCACGTTGCCTTGCCAGATGGCCACCTCCACGTTTTCAGCAAGCACATCAGTGCTCCATACTTGCGAGAAGCTTGGCTGCACGTCGATAAACGTCGATGAACGTCGATAGCATTCCACATTTGCCATGGGCCCTGAAATTGAGGTTTGCTCTGAACGCCGAAACGGCCAAAAGCAAGTGCGTAGTTGTGACTTGTGCGCTATATTAGGCCATATCCCTCATCCAGTTGCTTGGTTGTTGCGTGCCTTTGTTGAGAGTGCTGCACTGGGAGTGGTATTTCGAAGTAAATACGCATATCATCTACCTTGGATTCATGATTTGTATTGCTTCACTTGGTCCGGCCAACCAATTGTTGCTATGGCTGTGTCTCTCACCCGCCTTCGTCCAGGTCCGCGTCGCGGACGACGAGTGGTACTCCTCGGCTTCGGAGGGAAATAATCCTGTTTGGAAGGAAGAGGACGGGACTCACTGGGCTTGCGCGTGGGCTGGGTGTTGCGTGCTGCCATGGTTTTGGCTGGCTGCTTCGGAAGGGGGTCTGTTGGTTCTTTGCGCAACATATCTTTGCATATTGTTTGACTGCCAGCCTAGTTGAAATATGCAAAGCCTGGAAACATGCTCAAGAAGAGGTTCCGCCCGAACACCAACTCGGATTGAACACGCGAGTTTTCTGAAGGACACGCACTGCTTTTGGTACTACGACGCGAGGCAGAGACTTGGCAATCTCATCTTGGGCTGAGGCTTTGTGCCACGCTGGAAAGCAAGCAGCGAAGCTCCAGCCGCCTCGAAAGAGCACATTCTGTCGCTTCATCTTGTTCAAGGAGATGCTTCGCTCTCTGCTAAGGACGATTCACATCGATGTGCTGGACAGGGGCCGATTCAACAAGATGCACACCCTTGGGGTAGCCAAGCCCATGTTGGCCGCAGCCTCGCCTAGACAACGCACTGAGCGTCACTGCCATTCTTCCGAGGTGAAAGATGCCTGCGACAAGTCCGGCGCACCCATCGAGCTCTTCGCTCCCGTGGCCGGCCGTTCTCTTAGGAGTGTGTCTGCGCGTGTGTGTGTGTGTGTGTAGTGTGTGACTTTGCATGCCACATGGAAGATGCCAGCGGCACGGCATAGAAGTAAAGCGGCACACACAAAACGTGTTTTGGGACCCTGCTGTGACATGTTAATTTAATCTGGGCCTCAAATGGAGTCCGTTTGAAATGGATTTCTTTGTTGTTCAAAGAACCACAAACAACAAATGTGTGTGTGTGTGTATGCACCCGTGTATGTACATGTAGATATTCAATTTTCATATACGCATATATTGTTTAGCATGTTTCTCTCTCTCTCTCTCTATGTATAAACTATATAGATGTATTTCCATGATGGTCATATACATATACAATCATATATAGTATAATGTACACATATACAACATATGTGAGAACCTTTGTGGTTTTGAGGCAAGGGACTGGTGGCTTTTGGACAGACCTGAAGCAACGCGTTACAGGCAGTGCATCAGCCCGGGTGCTTCAGGCCTGGACGAGGTGAGCGAGGAGTCCTGTGGCTTGCTGGAGCTGGAGTGCGAGCTGCCCCTGGAGCTGATTCGTCTGGTGTTTTTTCGTTTCATGGGATTGTCAGGATGTCTTCGGGGAGTGGAAGGTCTGGTGCTTGTAGAGGAAAAATGGGAAACGGCCCTGGAAGACCTCCAAAAGATCGCAAATCCAAAGTACCAATTGGAGGTAGGGGAAGGGATGGGAAAGGAGTGATTGATACAATGGTTTGTCTGGTGGCCGCAAAAAGTCAATCTTGGGTGTGTCTGAACGCCACCAAGTTCGAGGGGCGGAACAAATTATCCCGTGTCATGGCCGAGTTGTCAACCTTGTTGAAGCAGCATGGATGTAGGAGCCGGAACAAGCAATCGGGCTCTTGCTTCAGTCTTTCCTGGAGCATGTGCAGTAACCTCTGACTCTGCCTCGCGTTGCGCTTGGCTCGCTCCTTTAGCTTGCAGATACTGTAGGCTGCTGCTGGTGCCTCGCAGGATCGATTTGTAAGCGCATCAGACCGTGCTTCTGTTGGATGACCGTGCTTCTGTTGGATGCCTATCTACCCCCCGGCATCAGCACGCCCATGTTGGTGCAGTTTTCCTCAATTTCCTTCAAAACCGCAAAACCACCCCATCTACAAGGATTGAACCCAACATGTCAATGTTATTCCGCAATTAGCGTTCTCCAAATTCGACCCCCAAGTGGCAGAATCAGAGTGTTTCTGATTTCCCCTGCTAATATGGGCATGTGCCAAAATAGGAATCGGAACCGTGAAAATTAGGGTCATCGCTTTGGTTTCCCCTTAAAACGCCCCAAATCCGCTTTGTTTCCCTTTAAACCAACCCCAAATCCGTTTGGCCCCTTCTAAACCAACTTCAAATCCGTTTGGCCCCGCCTTCTAGACCAACCCCAAGGGTACCGAAACCAAAACACACAAATCCGTCTCAGGCTGCAGCCACGCCCCGGGCTCCGCCCGGCCTGCGAGCTGTGCATGCTGCGGCTCAAGCTGGACGAGGTCTACGTGCCGGAGGAACGGAGCCAAATGAAGCGAACGAGGTTCTCATGAGATATGGGTGTGGGTCAAAAATGGGGTGACCCCCAAAATGGGTTACCCTGGTTTTTGGAACCAAGGCCTAAAACCTGTGGTCTGGTAGTTTAATTTTGACCTACCGTATGTACCCCCGGGCCTAAAGATTCCTCGACAGAACCGTGACCCTGATTTCAGGGTACCCATGAAAACCGAGAACCACGTGTGCATTAGTAGGATGGAACTCCGGATACCCAAAAATGCCCGTGTTTGGGGCTTTGACTGTTTAGGACACTGACACCTGGCGAGGCTGAATGCAAGACGTGGTCTTTGTGGAATCAGGGGATCCAACCACATGCATCTTAGTATCTTCAAGTCTTAGTTTTCTGAGAGTTCACAATAGCACTTTCCAGTGCCTTCCATGTGGGTGTGTCTTAACAATGGGACCCACAAAAACGTGGGGTTCCCTTCGGCTTCCCCTTAAAACCCAACCCAAGCGGGCACCAAGCCTGTCCCATGCATTCGCTGTCCGCAGGGCTTCCCTCAGCCGGTGGCGCTGCGCGCTCGCTGCAGCGACTCGGAGAAGAACACGCCCTTCGTGCTGCCGCGGCTCGGAGGGACCAGGAAAAGACCACGGAGTAATCCATGCCAGATGGTCATGAAAACAGGGACCCTGTGGACATTATTTAGCTGGGGGTTCATGTCCGCCTCAGTTCATGGTCAAATAGGCCCTCATAACTGTTCATTCCGGGAAGCCACAAGGGATGGATCATATTTAGCCAATCTCCCCAACTTACCTTCCCAGATGGCCCATCAAGCTGGGTTCCTTTGCCAAGAGGGTTTAGCTTCTGCCTCCCTGTGATGGCAGTAAGAACCGGCTTCTACACCAGGTGGCTAGGAGAATGACATTCGCCAGAAGTCGAGGTGGCGAAGTCAAAGTGTGAAAGGAGCTGATTCCATCCACGTTCCTTTCAGAACGAACCCGAAGAGCGGTCCGGCTCCCGGCCCTTGCCGAGGAAGGTGGTGAAGGTGGACACTAAGAAGTCCAAGAGTGAGCCAAACTTGCCTACGCCTGAGGCCCCAGAAAGGCAAACCGGCCGGGAAAGCTCCATTTGACGTATCCACCAGAGCTCCGAGTGACAACAGATGATGGATCATATTGATGAATGTGGGACCTACAGGAAAGACCCCTCTTGATGCTTTCAAAGGAAGCCAAAGTTGTTGAAAGCAGCATGGTTGTATCTCGGAGCTTGCCCGGGTTGCCATTGTTAAAGCACCTGCGCTGTTACAATCTGCGCTAGACGGTGAAATTCGGTGTTGGCCCGTCGCCGTCTCGGTAAGTTTACGTTCCACAAGGGTATTTTTGTTCACGGTGGCGACAGCGAGGCAGCGAGACACACATCCAATTCTTGTGCCCTTGCAAATGAAATCAGTGTGGTTTACCTCAGCTACTGCAAAAGCTGGATGTACATATATGTATTGGGACAAAAACTGGGCCTGACTGTCAAATATTGATACAACAGCACATGATTTCGTTTTGTTTGCTTTTCCACATGATTTGGTGAGGTACTTTTGCTATCTCTATTTATGAGTATTCATCCTGGAGCAACATGCAGTGTATATATATATATATATATTGACTGGCATGCACCCATTTAGAATTATGTTCTGAAGTAATCAGGCACTGTGCCAACATCGTCGTACCATGTCAGGCAAAGAGCTGCTTTGCAGAGTTTGCAACATATGCTTTGGACATGTTGGACTTGGAAGTCTGGGTGTCGGAGAAACAAACATGTTCCCACTAGATGATTCAGAGAGGTAGCAGCGGTGCTTGGGAGGGGAGCTTGGTTGAGCCTGGCTCTTGCAAGGAGGGCAGTTGGCGTGACTCTAGGCTTGTCATACTATCATGGTTAAACAAACCATGGAACTAGATGGTTCTACGGCATCCGTAAATGGGGATTTTGGCTCCCAGATGCAAGAGTTTTTCAGCACCCACACACACACACACATAAACATGGTACGGAGGCTCATTTGATAATTCTGATTCCTGCCTTTCTGATTTTGCCAGTTGGTCATGGAACAAGCTGGGAACAATTGGGGAAACGGCTTCTCATTTTTCGGTGGCCTGTGCTCAGGCTGAAGCGTTTAGGTACAGTACTTCCGGAGGCTGGGAGTCGCTTTGAGCTGGGAGAGAATGCCGCACCCCTCTTCCTTCTCATCCTACACGGGTATAGATGTAGTGTCAAACTAGGATGGAACTTGTTTTTGTTGATTTGTTTGAGGGAATCGGCGATCCATTCTCCGACAGGCTTCTTCATGCCCAGCTTTCGCGCCCGTTGGCTTGTTTTTTCATCGCCCTCAGGCTACTCTTGACCAATGGCCTTGCACTGTTTGATTCTGTGGCTGCTTTGGGAGTTGTCACTGGCTTGATTTCCTGAGTGCTGAATGGGTTCACGAGCAGGCTATAGAGTGCTCAAAAAATAGCAGTCTCTCAGCTTTGGGTCCCTGAAGAGGAGCGACACATGGGACTCGTGGGGCCAATGATCTCGGTGCCTTTCTAAACCAGCAACTCGTTGGTGGTGGTGAGATCCAATTACTAGCCCTCCCCCCGCCCTATCCCCTCCCATGAATTTCGCACTGGTAGTACCCTGCAACTGCCTCGAAGGTTTCCTCTTTTTGTAGCCGGGTCCATTTCTAGTTGGTTCCTTTGCGGTCATCCTGATCCATTAAGGTTGACAACACATATCCACAGCTGGCTCAAGGATTGATCACATTGGAGGTCTTGGCCTGAAGACCTCCGATTTTGGCACACCCACCCTCCAGGGGCGAGCGGAAGACTGCGGTTGCCAGGATGAAATCAAGCAGCCCATCACACTGGAGGTGGAATACGTGCAGCTCGGCTGCAAACGCTCCTGCTGTAGGGCGCCTCCCGCAAGATCCGCGAGCCTCTAGCAGACCGACTTCCGATTTCTGTGACCATCTTGTGGAAAGTGGGGGCATTTGGAGCCACTTGCTGTGAAAGCCGTGCAGTCAAGAGCTTGACGCGAGGAGTCACAAGCATGCGCTGAGGCGTTTGTTGTACAGGTAGAGAATCCTGGACATTCCGAGCAGCTTTGTCCAACTTGCTGAGGCTTCATCTCCTGATCAAGAAGGAAGAGCTCAACGCGCACCAGCTGGAGCTGGAGTTGATTGACCGGAAGCGTAACGTGCGCTTTCGGGAGCCAACCTATGCTCGGTTCTGGTCGAAAAGGCAGTCTTACCTTTCATGTGAGGGACCACCTGTAAGCTGTTTGTTTGGCTTGAGATCAGTCAGTGGCAAGGCCATGCGCTCCGTCCAGTTCGCTCGTCTGTTTGATGAGCTGTATCGTGAAGCGACTGCTTTACCAGGATTGCATCCCGTTAATCAGACTGCAGAGGATGAACTGCTGATGATTTTGGCCAGCTTGCCCCAGCATTGGATGGACCAACGCCTCAGGCTGTCGCCTACTGTGTTCGCAACCGACGCGTCGCCGGACGGGGGCGGGGCTTGTTCGTCAACTGGCCTGACTGCCCGCGGACATGCTAAGTGTCGGTTGCTTTGCATGGGGGATGAGCCTGGTGGCTTGGGTGACCCGGTGATTTTGATTGGGTGGCATTGGACTCCCGCAACAACATCCCCGTAAAAACTAGCACTGTCAGGTGCGTGCGCAATTCATTCTCCTCCGTGGCAGAACGCGGGAGGTATTGGCAACCAAAGAGGTGGAACTGAAGCAGTCGGGAGCCCAGACATTGCATTTTGCGGGAAGAGATGCGCTCCTTGCAGCAACTAACTCTTGAGTGTCAAGCAGGTGTGCAAGGCAGGCTGAATAGACATATGAGCAACGAAGACATCGGGCATTTCTCGAATCTTTTTTCGTCGCGCACAAGAGGGGGCAATTACCCAAGCAAGCAATTTGTAAATAATGCTGTTTGTTGCCCAGTTGATTGTGGTTTGTATGGATGCTCACTAAACCTTGAGAAGGATTGCAGATCACATGTGTTGTTAGAAACATCAGCAGCGATGGGGTTCTTGCGTTTTCCGTCGCATGAATTGGGCTTCCTATGCATCCTGTTGCATTTCGCCTTGCTTCAAACCCAAATCTTGGCGAACCTTTCAAATTGCTGAGAACCCGTCACAGACGATATTTACACATCAATTATGCCAAATCCAGAAGCAATTCTATTGAGCGACCTGGCTGTTTTGCTTCCACTTCAGTCCATTGCCACTTCGGCCCAAAGCTGGGAGCTTCTCATGAAAGCGGTGGGCCCCTGGGCGGGGCTTCTGTCCGCAGGCTGGTGGATCGGAAGTCCTTCCGCCGGGTTTGGGGCAGCGAGAAGCAGCCGCTGCTGAACCTGCGAGGAGTGTCTGAGCGAGCGTGGCGGGCTTTTCGTCTTTGGCCGTGCCATCCGAACTTGGAATTGGGGGTCAATGTGGGTTTTGGATGCCTTGGCATGGCATCTTGATGGCTTTAGCTGGCTCAGGGTTGATGCCACGTTTCAGGGGAAATAACGTGACCCTTCTTCAAGGGGGGGCAAAGGGGCATGGTGGATGTTTTTGAACGCAGGTCTCCAAAGCAGATTGAAACTCGCAGTTGGTTCCTGCTGGAGAACCTGCTCGGACAGTGGGAGAGCTTTCCAGTTAGACGCCATTCTCCCATGGTGTATAACCGACGAAGAGATTAGCCAGTTTACCCGACCCCAGTGCGAGAACCTTTCAGCTGATTGTAAGCCACGTGAATCAAGGGCCGGCTTTGCCGGGATGTAGTTCAGTCAATTCCCGTCCTTAATGAACAGACGCTGCATCGCCAGCCACTGCCATTTTACGCGTTTGGCAAGGTATACACTTGGCTGAAGCCGACAAAAAGGGGCCGCAATGCCTAAAAAGCGATACACCCGGCTATAAGGCGACGCTCTGAACTGTACTTTTTGATAACATAACCCTCCCCCCGCTCTGCAATCAACAAACTATGGGCTTATCAATCCGGCCTCCCCTCGTTTGCCACATTCATCACGCGCCTATCATGCCAAAGCTCAAAGCCTGCGCAGGACTGAATGGGAAATGCCAAGTGGAGATCGAAGTGCAGATATCAGGCAGGGCTGCGCAGCGTTTCGAATGTTTTACCATGGTGTGCTACGGGGTGGTCATGGACCAGTAGTGGCTCAGTCGTGGATCAGCACAGCCTTCTTGCTAGGTCTCGACCCTCAACAAGCCCGAGTTGGGAGGCGCGCGGCAGTCGGGTGAACTTGCTGACGTGTTTTCTGCAAGGCGCAGCATGGCTTGCGAAAGGCGCTGATTGGCCTATGGCCTTGTTTTTGTCGCAAGCGTTCTGGGAGAGGGGTCTCCAACAAATGCTCTGCTTTTTCAATTCTTTTTCCTCGTGAAGCATCCACAGCGGAGGACATGCTGAGGCTGCCAGCCTTTCCGTTCGTGGGTCTTGCCTGCTGAAGCCTGTGAAACTTGCCATGCCCGTCCAGCCGTCCAGGTCAGCGGATATACTGTACGTATATTTATATACATATCTATATCTATGAAAACACACGGTCCACTGTAAACACACGTAGCACACCTCCCTTCATTTGAAGCTGTTGTTGACCATTGCCCTCCCGTGGAAAGCAACCTTCAATATGTAGATTTGTAGTGAGGAAGCGGCACACCTCTAGCATATTGCCTCATCGCCTACGGGTGAAGCAAACAAGCTCGCACGGGCCAACTTTGGCTGGCCAAGCGGTCTCTTCCACCTGTGACTGAGACAGATTGAGGCATCTTGGGTTTCATCCAAGTCACGTGGCCATGGGCTGAGGAGCCAAGGCACGGCTTCTCATTCGCCAGGGCGCGGGCACCGCCACGCATCAACCCACTCTTCGTGGACCGCCTGCCCAGGCCGGACCGCGAAAGCTGCGAGGAAAGTTGGCAACTACCAACCGAAGCAAGGCTCACCATTTTGAGAACCCCCCTCCTATTCCTTTTGGCTGTGTTGCTGGTGGCAAGACAGTGTGCGGATCCTGGGTTGGAGGTGCTGGTGCAGCCTCTGCAGACTGAAGCGGGAGTCCTGGTACCTGCTGGCCTTCTCTGGCAATGCCTTGATTGCGCCTCTGCCATGGGCGAGGTTGGTGGGACCAGACGTTGATGTGTTGTTCTCCCGGATGGTGCGAAAGAGATTGCGACTTGCATTTTGCCACCAACATTTTGCACAACTAGAAGTGAGCGCAACAGGGTCTGAGACCCGTCGTTGGACTCACTGCCTCTGCCAAAAGGAAAGCTTTGTGTCCGTCTTTGTGTCTCTGTTTTGTCTGTGTTTGTGGGACATGTGCAGTCCACGGTGACATTGGAGTGGCCAGACATCTCAGTGGCCCGGCGTCGAATCTGAGAGAGCGAATTGGAGTGACGCATCCTGTAAGGAAGGTGCAGCCTGTGCCTTGGCGGAAGGTGGTGCTCGCTTCCCGGATCCTGTGCTTTGAGAATCACTGACACCTTGTGGGCCAACTCAAAGTAGACTGTTATCCATATTATGGCCTCAAGGAAACAGCAGCATATCATGTTCTGCGGATCTTGGCTGTGATGGTTTAGTATCCCTTGTTTGATGTGGTCTATCCAAATAGTTGGTTTGCCATTCCCGATCTCCCTAGCAGAATCCATACCGAGATGCCAACGAGGGCTCCGAACTGAGGCCTGATCGGCTCCCTTTCCGGGTTCCTGCTCATCTTCATCATGACAATGTTTGGCCCAAGGCGATTGGGCTTCTCAGAGAGTTCTGTCAGCCCTGGCATACATGGGGTCACTCGTATGTTCAGCTTTTGGAGGCATTGCCGGTGGGCCGATTTTCAAAGACAGGTGCTTTTCTCATGTTTGCCTCTCATGTTCTCCTTCATCCTTAATCAGATACGTACTGCTTGGGCGCCATTTGCCACAATTGGAAAAGCGCAGAGGCGCCCTTGGTTGCCTTGTCAAAAGCTGTCAGCAAAACGGTTCCTGGTTTTGACATACTCAGAAAACCCCTTGTGGGGGAACCCTAAAGGGCAGTCAATTTCTAATTTTTCTGTCACCACCTCTTGAGACCCGCCCCCCGCCCCTTACCGGCCTTGCACTCACCTCCGGTCAGCGTCCTTTTCCATGGTGCGGATGCCTCCTTTGTGTGGGCTTGAACCACCTTTGTGGATGAGAACGGGAGTGTGAAGCTCTAGATGCCGGGGCTGTTGCATGTTCGCGCAAGCAAGGAAGGCAAAAGTTGGGGTGACTCTAGTTGGGGGAAGGCAGCCAAACCAAACCTTACCATGTGTTGCCATAAGAAACGTGGCGCCGTGGCAGGCACAAGCACCAGAGCTTGCCCAAGGACGGGTCCTTCTTTTTTCTCCCAGGGTCAATTGCAGTTTGGTCATTTGAGTGTGTCCTTTTTTGAGGGTGCTCTTTTTGGTGTGGCTACGGGGAACAAAGGGAACCCCGCCAATTTTGAGGCAAACCCAGAAGGCTTTCCCCACGGGAATGTGGGACATTCCTTGAGGAGGAAGCGGAGGCCGGGGACGCGGAGGAGGAGGCGCGCGCAGTGCCCCCCACGCTCTACGAGGGCGGGGACACCACGCGCAGCTCCAAGGCGCCCTACCCTCCAAGCGGGTAGGTTTTGCCTTTGGGCCTTCAGAAGCTCACTTTCGGGGCTTCGGATTTGGGAGGTTTTCAGGGCCTTCACCGCCAAAAGGGAGTGCCCAACTCTTGTTTCGAGTTTTGACGTGTCGACTTGAATCTGCAGCTCCAGATCTATTTCGTTAGGCTTTGCTTTCATGAAACAGGTCCTTTCGTAGACATAGGTGCGGGGACCACTGGTTACATAGGCTACAAGTGTACAGTCTTTCTTTACAGATCCGCCACCATTGGTTCGATCATGCTCAAGCCAAAGGACAACCTGGTCCGTGAGAAGCGACCGCCAGCCAATGGTATTTTGCCGGAACATGGATAGACAAGCCACCAAGATGCGCTTCAAACCCGTTGTTTTTGAGTTGGCAAACTGATGCTCACCATCAACAGGATTTCCTGAACACCGCTTGATACCGCTTGATACCGCTTGATACCGCTTGATACCGCTTGTTTCCAAGACGTTCCAAACACTGTTGAAAAACATACGCATGTGGCGTGCTGTTCCCGACAAGGAACCCCGCGCCTAGGAGAAGGCGTCTCCCCACGATAGGCAGCCTTCCACTGCGGAGCCCCGCTCCCCCACGGCATCCTTCCTCCTCAACGCCGCGCGGAGCGCGCGGGCGGCCAGCGGTTCGCCACAACAAACGGCAACCCGGCAGCATGGCGGGCTCGCGGTGTTGGAACCCGCCGAAGAGGTGACAAGGGACGGGTTGGGTCCTTGGGAGCTGACGCATTGACTTCTTGAGCCATTGCTGGGAAAGAACGAAACGGGCTGTTCCTTCCAAACAGCAGACATGGGCATGAAGAGCTCGTTTCAGAAGGACTGGCTTCTCTTCTGCGTGTTTGTGCCCTTCACTCATGTTCAATCCATTTGTCAAGGGCCCAACACATGTTCGCCTGCAACTGGGATCCCTTTAGTTCACAGAAACTGGTTTCAACTTCCGAGTTGTTCTTTGGCCTGGCGGAATCCATTAGCATCTCTAGGATTGAAGCGCATGTCGCTGACGGCAGCTTGCTGGGCCTGCAGATATAGGAAATCAACATGTGTTGACGTTGACTGAATGTTTGGAAGCAAGGCACTTGCTGCAAACTTGAGTAAGGCCCCAGTTGGACACATGAGATTGCTGTGGAAGCATTTTGTTTGTTCGAGCCGGATGTGTCAATGGCTGACACTTGGATCATATTCCCCGAGGGAAAACAGGGTATCACCTGCGCCACGTTCGCGGGCCAAAGCATGGCTTCGGACCTCAAAGACTGTCTCTTGGGGTTTGGTTGAACATGGATGGCGCTGGTCGGGAACTTTTGTCATTTCAGCATTGGGTTGCGTCCCTCCGGTTTTCCTATGTTGAGACCTCTGTGATATGGGTCGAGGTAGGCTGGCAGGGTTACCAGGCTGCATTGGCTCGAAGTGCCAAGGATTTGACGTCTCCGTCCTCAAGGGGAAAGACTTCAGGGGACCGCGCGAGATTTCATACTTTCGCCCAGTAGGATTGAGCAACGTTTGCTACAGCCAGATCTTGGCCCCTTCAACAAGAAGCCAACGGGAGGCTGTTTTATGGCGGTTTCAACAGGTTCAATCCAGAGGATGGCCAAAAGAGCTGGCCAAGGCGTGTCAACTCGGTCAGTCTTCTACAGCCTTGCACAGGGCCATTGCCGAATGCCAATGGCCGCATTGCTCGAAGTCGCCCAGCCAAGCAGATGCAACTCTACGTTTGCTTCAGAATTTCGGTTGGCCGACCTGTTGAGCATGGTTTCCAGTTTTGGCCACCTGTTTTGAGCCGGATAGTTTCAAGACGTGCGATGTTTTGTAAATGCAGAGATTTGCTTGGAGCAAGCCACTTCGATCGCTTCAGAGGTGTCAGCCCAGGGTTGCCGATGAGACACCTGCTTGAAGACAAGGTCCTGATAGGCATACTGCGGCATACTCGTAATTTAAGTGTGGGCGCGAAATCGCAAGCCCACGATATCCGGCTGTCGTTTAAGTGAAAAGAAGCAGCATTTGGTTCGACACGACAATTGGCCGTCGGTGTATCGGGGTAACGGGATCAACGACAGTTTCTTCGCGGCTGTCCCTAGAATAGAATGTCTTGTAATACGGAAGGTTTGCCTCCAGGGACCACGAAGGAGCAGCTAAGATACAAACAAAAAGCAATCAATCAAACGAACAAACAAATAACCAACCAGCCAACCAAGCAAACAGACAGACAGACAGGCAGCCAGGCAGACAGACAGGCAGACAGACAGGCAGACAGACAGGCAGACAGACAGGCAGACAGACAGGCAGACAGACAGGCAGACAGACAGGCAGACAGACAGGCAGACAGAATCAATAAGCAAGCAAACAAACAAGCAAACAAGCAAACAAGCAAACAAACAAACAAACAAACAACAAAACAAAAGCAATCAAGCAAGCAAGCAAACAAGCAAACAACCAAACAAGCAAACAGCCAAAACAAAAAGATCAAACGATCAAGCAAACAAAGAAACGCACACACACACACATAAACAAACAAACAAACAAACAAACAAACAAACAAACAAACAAACAAACAAACAAACAAACAAACAAACAAACACACAACCAACCAACCAACCAACCAACCAACCAACCAACCAACCAACCAACCAACCAACCAACCAACCAACCAACCAACCAACCAACCAACAAACCAACAAACCAACAAACCAACAAACAAACAAACAAACAAACAAAGAAACAAACAAACAAACAAACAACCAAGCAAACAAACAAACAAACAAACAAACAATCACACAAACAAACAAACAAGCAAGCAAACAAACATACAAACAAGAAAACAAAAAAGCAAGCAAGCAAGCAAGACAACAAACAAACAAACAAACGAACAAACAAACATTCATTCAAACAAACAAACAAACACACAAGCAAGCAAGCAAACAAACAAACACACAAGCAAGCAAGCAAACAAACAAACATTCAAACAAGCAAACAAGCAAGCACGCAAGCAAGCATGCACGCAAGCAAGCAAGCAAGCAAGCAAGCAAGCAAGCAAGCAAGCAAGCAAGCAACAACAACAACAACAACACATCTAACAATCAAGCAAGCAAGCAGGCAAATAAACAATCACACAAGCAAAAACAACAACAACGCACAACACCAAACACACACAATCAAACAAGCAAGCAAGCAAACACGCAGCCAACCAACCAACCAATCAAACAGACAAGCAAACAAACAAACAAACAAACAACCAACAACAAAAAAGCAAGCAAGCAAGCACGCAAGCAAACAAACAAACAACCAGTCAAACGAGCAATCAAGCAATCAATCAAGGAATCAAGCAAAAACATCAATCCAATAAACAACAAACACTCAAGCAAGCAAACAGCCAACCAAGCCATCAAGCAAGGAAGCAAGCAAGCGAATAAAGACAAAAGAAGCAAGCAAACAAGCAAGCAAACAAGCAAGCAGGCAGGGAGGCAGGCAGGCAAGCACGCATGCAAGCAAGCAAGCAAGCAGTAAGCAAACAAACAATCAAACAGTCCGACAGACAGGCAGACAAACAAACAATCAAGGACACATTTAACCAACCAAGCAAACAAACAAACAATGAAGCAAACAAACAAACTTTCAACCAAACACACACACACAAACAATTAAACAAACAAACACACACAAACAAACAAACAAACAAACAAACAAACAAACAAACAAACAAACAAGCGACCAAGCACGCATGCATGCATGCATGCATGACACGCACGCATTATGAGACAGGAGGGTTTCAGAAGCACGGGAAGTTCCTCAGAACAAACTCAACAAATACTCAGCCAAACAACTCAACTGAAAGCACAGCTTCAAAACAAGCACCAACGAATCACAGAAAAATACACAAGGGGCAACTCAAACAAACGCAGAAACAACTTAGCCTTCAACTCAGAAAACAACTCAGAAAACAACTCAGAAAGCAACTCAGAACAACTCAGCCTTGAACTCCTTTGAGTTTGAGGCTGAGTCTGCAGCTGAGTGTTTTGAGTTTTTTTTTTCTGAGTGCTGTCTGAGTTTTTTTCCGAGTTGCTTTTTGTGTTTTCTCGAGGGAAAGCTGCAGATTTCCTTCACAACCAACCCGTGCCGCAAAACCCAGAAAAAAGCTCAAAGAAAACTCAATCAACTAAAAGCAAATGAGAATAACTCAGACAAATACTCAGAAAACAACTCAGGAAAAACATACCAAACACACAAGAGCAACTCAGCTCCAAACCCAGCTTCAAACTCAAGTGGGGGTTTGAGGTCAAGGCTGAGGTTCTGCTGCGTTTATTCCTGGATTTGCGGCCTCTGTGGGCGAGATCAGGTCATCAAGCAAGCAGGCAAACAATCAAACAAACAAGCAACCAAACAAGCACACGCGCGCGCAAACACACGCGCACACCCACACAAAAACACAGTCCCACACAAGCACACAACCACATCACACACACAATCACACAACCACAAAGCACGCACCTTCCATTACATTACATTACTTTACTTTCCATTACATTACATTACATTACATCACACTACATTACATTACAGTACAGTACAGTGCATTACAGTACATTACAGTACATTACATTACATTACATTA